ATAACAGTTCTTTATTAGGGAAGAAAATAAAAAGATAAAATAAACAATGAAGTAAATCAAAACGACACTGACAGAGTCAGAATACAACCTGACACCCTGTTGGACAGGGTGTTGGTAGCAGTCCAATTGGAATTGTGGCTGCAGTCCTCCTGGAGTGTCAGGTGTGGTTCTGTTGGAGTAGTGATCCTGTAGAAAAATGGGTGTAATCTTCCTCTGAAGAGACAGTGGAAGAGGCGGCCGTTCCTCTGGGAAAATCCAGCGCAGAAAAAGCTGTGCTGGTGGACCAGAATCTCAAGACTATATGCAGGTAGGAATGCTTGGCTCCTCTCTCTGGGCGGAGCAGCTCACAATGGGATGTTATAGTTCTTATCAGTCATGCAGTGGTATTCAATAGCCCATTATCAGCAGATGTCTCCACAGAGGGAGGATTGATTGTGGAAGAGATAAGGAACAACTGCCCACTTAACACAAGACAACTGCCATACAGATGGCAAATAGAATACATCTTGCTTTTCAATCTGGGACACACATGCATAGTGAAGCCTCTGAAGAAGGCAAGTGAATTCCTTTGCTTCGAGTGGTGTTTCTGAGATGCAGAAAAAGGCTACTCATTTTGTAGGGGCACACTGTAATCAGTAGTGTACACTCCACCTTGCTGGATGATTGAAATGATGCATGTGGTTAAGATATTCCACCTTGCTTTTGCTTCAGTCTGAAATTACTGGGAATCTGGTTCCAATTGGCTTTAAAAATTTTTTTTAGATGCTGAGAGGTACAGTGACTCCTTAGTGCCCTAAAGTAATCATTCATTTATAAAATAAATAAGCTCAAGATAACTATTCTACAAGGCTTTCCAATATGCTTCATCTTGTATTTTGTTTTTTATGTTGCAAAAAATATAGTCCTTTGTCTAGGACAGTACTGAATGCATTGATGCTCAATAAGAAGAAGCAGTTGTAATGCCATTTAAAATGACTTGGACAAGCTCAAGAAGTGTGCCCATCAGAATCTCATGAGTTTCAACAAGGCCAAGCGTGAGGTTCTGCACCTGAGTTGGGGCAACCCCTGGTGTCAATATAGGCTGAGGGATGAAAGGACTGAGACCAGCCCTGCAGAGAAGGACTTGGGGGTGCTGGTGGATGAGAGGCTGGACATGAGCCAGCAATGTGTGCTTGCAGCCCAGAAAGCCAATCGTGTCCTGGGCTGCATCCAAACCAGTGTGGGCAGCAGGGCAAAAGAGGTGATTCTCCCTCTCTACTCAGCTCTGGTGAGGCCCCTCCTGCAGAGCTGCCTCCAACTCTGGGGTCCCTGTTATAAATGGAGAGGGGAGAGTTTAGACAAATCCTTGCCTTTCCAGGTTTCTGGCAGTAGACAGCAGCTTTATTGAGGTGGCCAGCACCCCAAAACCCACTCTCGCTCACAAGTTCTTAATAACGACTGATCAGGCCTATTACAATATGAATTATTTATTCTAACAGGCCAAGGAAAACAGACATAAGACTTAAACAGTTTACGTACTACACAGGATAGCACAAAGAACTACTAGTAGATAAAAATACAGTGCACGATAATGGTAATAAGTGAAATGAACAGGGTCTATGCCTTTATTAATAGTCATCTCTTTATTAAAAAGTCAGCTCAGCAGGGGGCTCAACAAGGAGCTCGCCCCCGCTGTTGCAGCTTCTCCGGTAGCCGAAGGGTGAGCAGGCGTGCAGAGTCTGTCCCTGGAGTCTCCGTGGCACGCTGGTAGCTGGAGGTGAAGAGGTGTGCAGTCCATATCTGAAGTGCCAGCAGACCGTCCTCTCTCCTTTCCTCCTGGCACACTGGTAGCCGTAAGGTGGGGGGATGTGCAGACCCTGCTGCCGAAGTCCAGCAGCAGCTATCCCTCTCCTTCCCTCCTGGTAACACCAGGAAGTGCCTGTGCTTTGCTCCTGCTTCCCACAGCCCAGTCCAATCTGGTCCTCTGTAGGTTATGGTGACAGGTCAAACACAGACTAGGGATGGGGTTCCCTTTTCCCCAACCAGCACACCCATCCAGCCCCCTCCACTGTGCCCATCTTTTCCATTTAGGGGTGTTTTTCATCCCCAAAACCCCCTCCCATGATTCCACTGGATTATTTTGCATCCCAGTCCTAGAATGGTAGTGAGGGTGGGGGGAGGTAGGTGATTCCCAGGAACAATTAGCTAATTAACATTTCAATGTCAGTACTTAGCCCAAGCCAAGTGTCCCAGCCAGGCTGTTTTGTTCATAACAATAAGGGTACCTTATGTTGCAGCTAGTGACGAAATAGTATAGATTAGGAATCAATGTCACTTACCAACAAATGATTGTGGTGTGCAGGGAATCTCCCCATTTCTCTCAGTCCCAGGGAAGTAACTCAATTCTAACATCTTAACATCAAGTACACCTCTCTACACACTCAGAGAGTGTCTAAGAGATTTCTGATTTAATGAAAATAAGTGGTTTTTTATAGTTGTAAAAATGTCTGTGCTCTGCAGTCACTAATTTTAGCTTTTCCTTTCTCACCATTCAAGCCAGGATGTGTATTGCTGGCTAAGGAGGTTCTCAGCTGAGATAATTCATCACATGACAAATCATTCCAGTCTAACCTAGCTATATGTTACGGGGAGATAAGCTTTGGCTGTATCAGGGGTGAAAGGTCCTGCCACAGTCCCCAGTACAGGAAGGACATCAACCTGTTAGAGTGTGTCTAGAGGAGAGTCGCAAAGATGATCAGAGGGCTGGAGCACGTCTCCTATGAAGACAGACTCAGAGAGTTAGGGGTCTTGAGCCTGGAGAAGAGAGGGCTTTGAGAAGACCTTGTAGCAGCCTTCCAGTACTTAAAGGGGGTTTACAAGAAAGATGGGGACAAACTTTTTAGTAGGGCCTGTAATAATAGGACAAGTGGTAATGGTTTTAAACTGAAAGAGGGTAGATATAAGGAAGAAGTTTTTTACAATGAGGGTGATAAAACACTGGCATAGGTTGCCCAGAGAGGTGGTGGATGTCCCATCCCTGGAAATATTCAAGGTAAGGTTGGATGGGGCTTTGAGCAACCTGATCTAGTTTGAAGATGCCCCTACTCATTGCTGGAAGGTTGGACTAGATGACCTTTAAAGGTTCCTTCCAACCCAAACCATTCTATGATTCTATTCTATAATTTGACTATGGGGAGTGAAGTGTGTTGAACAGTGTGTCAAAAGGAAGTCATATGATTTGATTTTAAAATAAGTTTTTTAAAACAGTGTTTGCTTTATTTACTCCCATGTTGCTTAAAAAACCCAAAACCAAAAACTGAACCAAAAAAACCACAAAGACAAAATGTCCCAAAAATGCAATCAAAAAACCGAACAAGCTGCATGTTCTACTGTATGTAACTACTATGTAGTAATAATGTGCATTAGTGTAGTGGCCCTCTGGTGTTCTGCACTATACCATATCATATTTTCTTCTGATTTCAAGATTTCTTTGATATTGCTTTCTCATTCCATGTCACCTTGAATAGCAGTGGGCTTGAAGCCTTAAGGATGAAGCTCTGTTTTTCCACTGACTCCTGTGCTGTGGCATATGGACATACTGAGTTACTTTAGGAATGAATGTAATGTGATGACCTGTGTTTTGGGTATCTGTTTTGCATTCTTAGTTAGCAAAAGAATGCTTGAATATGACAATTCTAATTTCTTGGAAGAACCAGCTGCATTTTTATTCTTTTTTTTTCAGCTTGTCATGAAGATTACATAATTTAAACATATTCTTTTAATTTTATTCATGAGGCCATCCTGTGTCGCTGTCGAGGCAGGACGGGAATGAGAAGACTGACCAGAAGGCTGCTGAGAGTAAAACTCCGATTTATTCAAAATACACTGCTCTTTTATACAGAGCTTCGTGAGGACCAACTCCATTGGTTCTGAAGTGAAAACAACCCACACCATTGGTGCAAAGTGTTTGACGCACAGTGATAGAACTTAACTATAAACAATGTGAAAAACAAGAGAGATAAAAAATTATTTACATTCTTCTCCAGATCTTTCCCAGGCTTCTGCCTGGCTAGAAATTCTCAGTTTCTTTCTTTGACTGAATCTGAGTCCCACAATCCTGTGCAGGGCCAGGAGTTGAACTTTGATAATCTTAGTGAGTCCCTTCAAACTCAGAATATTCTGTGATTCTATGAAATCTCTTGTCGTGTACAAGGCATGTTCTTAATGAGCAAATGAACAGTACTTTGAGATGTCTTCATGCTTATGTCAAAGTTCACCCTGAAGAAACAGCTGATTTAGAGAAAAATCTTTCCATTTAAAAACTGTTGCTAAAGACCCGGATGTATTTATGCCTGCCCTGCTCTATAGTATCAGGAAGCAGGTTCTAAAATGATGGTGCATGTGAAATGCCAGTGCAAATCAGCTCTCCCTTCGAGCTTTGTGTACAAAAAATGTAAGACAAATTTTCTAGCGAGAGCAAATAACTGAAGTAGGAGCAGCAAAAATATCTTATTCTGATTACACTGAACAAATCTAGTGTTTACTGGATCTCTACTTCTGCTGGGTTTCAAGTATGAAGTATATTTTTAGGAAATGCATGTCTTACTAATGCATATTTGGTCTCTGTAATGTGAAGCTGGAAGATACATAGCTTTTGTACAAAAATTAGAAGAAAAACTTGGGTAATTTCCTGCTGTAACTTTATGTGAATTTTTGTTTGCTTTTGTCTGATGGGCCATACATTGTGAACTATGGATTTCCTAATAATAAAGACCCATTTAATGCCTTTTAATTGAGAAGACTGGCTTGATACAGTCTTTAAACTGCTTTGGATGGGCCACACCAGCTTCAAGATTCTGCATCAGGAATTCAGTCTGCCTGGTGTCAGGCATAGCTGGGAAACAAGCAGTGTAGCCTTAGAGGGGAGGAAAAGTGTTACAGAATAAAAGTTTGCAATTAGCCACTGGCTGCAGCATTTTTAATTAAAAAAAAACTAATTTAGCAATTTTTTTCAAAATCAGGTGCTCTGTGGATGTGTATAGTCTTAAATCCCCACTGCAAGTTGGAGCAGAAGGTCAGTTGGCTAACGCAGCTGAAAAAATGGAATGGTGTGGATGTTTGTCCCTGGGAAGATGGAAACCATGGAAATGAGCTGCCCAATTTAACCAATGCTTTGCCTCAGGGTGCAAATGCTAACCAAGGTGAGCCTAGATATATGCACTGCCTTGCAACACATAATATAGCCTTAGTCTTATATACTTGAGCTTTGCAGCAGAATACAGCAGTCTTTCCTGGGACAAGGTAACTTTCTTGTTGAGGATTGACCAGTCAAATTTATTTTAATTAATATTGTCCTCACAGAAAGGATAAATAAGGTTTATTTTTGTGCTGGGGCTGCAATGTTTTTAAAGCAAGTTAGGTCTTCTAACTTTTCACTTGGTCCTTCTAAATAATTGTTGCATAAAAATTGAATGCCACTGAAGTATGTAATGTAAAAAACAGTTGTTTCTTTGCTTTACTATAATCTTATATCCCTTCTGGTGCTGGGGGTTTTATTTTTTGCAGTTACAAAGCCTTTGATACTTACTTAAAGGGACATCTGTTGTGACTGCGTTAAACTGAATATGTGAGAAACTAAAGCAGCTATTTGTGGGATGTGGTCTGTGTTGTGCAGTCTGCATTGACAGGTGTGGGGGGGGGTGCAGAGGCAACACTGCCTTCTTGGAGGAGGTGTCTCTTCTTACTTGATATCATGCTTTCTAATCTAAAATGTGATTATCAAACCTGACAGAAGCCTTCTCCAGTCATCTTCAAGCAAAGATTGCTACTTTGCTAATAACTGAGGAAGATGCAGGTTATTTACCTGGGGAAAAAAACCCTAATAAAATCTTTCAATATTTTGATACATATTTAATAAAAGTTAAAATCAAATGCTTGTGAAAGGTGGTAGAATTAGACTTAGAATAATTTTTCCTTGTTTCTTTTTCTTGGAAGTTTACCTCTGAAGGAAATAGACTTGATTTGTGTTTAAATCTTGCAGCTAGCTGCAGACAGAAGTTCATGCAACATGTAACTCCCTACAGAGGTGTTTGGCTTTCTGGATCGTGTGATGTTCAGACCAACTTGGACATGCTAGTAGCAATTCAGACATGACATTTTGACATTCATAGACACAGTGCCATGTTGACAGAGCACTTTTGCCATAGGAAGATGTCCAGTAAAGGATTGTCAGTCCCATGGCCTCAGTACCTTGCCGTCTTTGCAGTATTTGTGTTTGTTTAAGACAAAAAATTTTACAAGTGCTCAAGGTAATGTCACTTCTCAAAGAGAACAACTAAAAATATTTTATGTGATGTTTATCTGTCACTCATCCTAGTGGGTCTGGGTCTGAGAAGGAGAGAAGCTGGGAATGCTTGAGTAGCTGTGTGCCATATACTTTCTAGTCTGTTTTTAGGGGAATTCTGCACGTGCTGTTTAATGTCCTTCATGTCTAGCTGCTCCCTTTGCAATGTCCTATTTAGCATTAGCTGTGATAGTTTGTAGATCTTCCTGAATGCAAAGCGAATGGCACACACTTTGCCTGAGCTGGTGAGTAAGAGGATGTAAAATGTCGGCTGTGGTCTGCTCCTTGCAGAGTGGGTCAAGGTAGACTGCCATCAGTTAAGGGCTGGTGAACAGGCAGGGGACAAGAATACTGTGAATGACTGATTCACATATGAATAAATAAAAGCTGATGCAGCTTTCTGAATTTGTGAAAATGACAGATTCATCAAACAGGCCACATCGGACGGTGTTCACTAGAGCCATAGAGGCATGCGAACTGCATTGGCAAGACAGCCACTTACAGCACATTATCAGCAGTGACTTATACACCAACTACTGTTACCATGAACACACTGAAAACTCTCTCTTTGACTCTCGAGGGTGGCCCCTCTGGCATGGTAAGTGGCTAAACCGGAAAGATATTTCCATTATTTGCCCTGTTCCGTTTCTATGGTTTGCTTTTTTTTTTTCTTTTTCTTTTTTGGGGGGGGGGAGGGAGGGAGCTAAATGAAAAGCCTGGAAAAAAAAACATAGTCTCCCTTGAAATGTTGGCTCAGAAACAGTCCTTTAACGCTCTCTTGCAAAGTTTTTAAAACAAATTGAAGGAAAGAAAAACGCCCTTTTGAGTAACCTAGCAAAACAGGCTATTGTAGACATGGAAGCATTGCTATTCCTCAATTATTGTCTCCGTTTTAGAACATGTTCCTACAGCCTGTGCGAGGGTGGATGCGTTACGATCTCATGGATGCCCACAAGAAGCACTGAGGCTAGCAATAGCTATTGCTAATACTCTAAGAAGGCAGCAGCAGAAACAGCTGGAAATGTTCCAGGCTCAGAAGAAAGGTAAATGAGGGGAAGAGAGAAGGGCAAAGGACATGACAAGGTGACAATAGCACCAAACTGGAACTCTGCATGAGAAAACTGCTTTTGAAACTAAAGCAAAAGAGGTGACTTTAATTCTTCAGTCCAAACAATCATAGTGGTAGTGTCACATTCTGGATGTTGGAGGTGTTTTTTAAGCTGGGTTGTGAGCTCTGCAGGGTAAGGGCTCTGTTCTGCCTTCTGCAATATGTCTAACATGATGGGGGCCTTTATTCCAATCAGAGGTTTTGGTTGCACAGTGTAAATATTCATTCTGTGTAATTTATAAGCTCTTAAGCAGAGATTTGCATTTGGAATGTCAAGTATTTAAAATAATTTTTCTCCTCTGATGTGTAATTTAGCAGACCTATATATTTCTGAGGTGGAAGCCTAAAGTTGACAAGGCAAAGTCTGCACTACAGAAATTTATCCAGTTTGGCAGTTTCTTCCAAAAGTCTTTGATGATGCTTAAAACTTTAGTGAATTCTCAGCACTGGAAATCAAATTTTTGAAACACTGGCTTTATAAAATGTTCAGTGGTGTTCTCACTACCCCTATTTTCTGAAGGAACATTCTTCCAAAAATAATCCTTCACTGAACTTTTTCATGGGTTTGGAGAGGTAGTGGAAGAAGAAAGGGGTGACTTTGTGGTTAAAATGCATGTGGAAAAATTAAAATAGCATTCTCAGCTACTACAAGAAAACCTTTAATTAAAATTTTATTGTAGATCTTTGTTGCTACTTTTAATTCTGTGTATCCTCATGCATTGTAGGCAAAAATACCAGTGTGAAGTCACATGTGTGAATTTTTTAACTGTATGTGCACATGTTTTCCCATAAATGTTCATTTAGAAATTGAAGACAAGGTAGATACCTGACTGAAAAAAAAAAAAAAAATGATTTGGTAGTTCCTATGTGCCTTCATTTCACAATACGCAAGGAAGAAATTTTGAGCACTACTGTGGATCCTAGATTTCAACAAAACTTAAAAGCACTTTACATTATTACTTAGGAGAATTTTTTAGTCTTTTTATCATGTAATATATCTTTCCTTAACATGAATTTTGTAATTCGTATATTGTTACTCACTGTTTTGGTTCGGTTTTTTCACTCTTATGCTTGAAATTTAAACAATTTTGTTTTAGTAGTGCAAAATATGCTTGTCTTCTTTATAAGCAGAATAATTCTGCAGCTACAGTTTCAGTTCAGCAACCATCACATGCTTCTACTTCGCTTTCATTCATATGACTGATTTGACATTTGTGGAACCAGTTGCATGATTTAAAGTTAAATCTCTATATGAATGGAGTATTGAAGCCTTTGTTTGGCATGACACAAGTGAAGCTCATAACTAGACATAATAGATGAAGTGGAATTACAAGTGAGTCAGTAAGGTCATTGATATCAATCCTTTTTGGTAATATTATGTTCTTCTTAATGTCATTTTTAGCACATGCTATTTGTTAGTAAGATAATTATTTACTACTTTTGTTGTTCATATTACATATCAGTTGATTATTTTTTAAAAAGACACTCTCATGAACACTGAGTTCAAAAGTGTGGCTGTTTAATTTTGTAGCTCCACACATTTAAAGGCAAGAAGCAAGCTTTTAAATGATTACTCAGAGAGATGGCACTTTGTGAATGAGAGAGCACAGAGGCAGGTACAAGTTAGTGTGCAATAAGCAGAGAAACAGAGCATCTGTAATGGCTTGTATACAAGTTTTAAATGGTCACCCATAATGCATCTGATCTCTCATAGTTCAGTTGTGTATGTGTCTAGGAGAAAAAGCTGGGAAGTTGAAGGGGAGCTACTGCCATAAGATTCTTAGTTAAAAAAGGGATTTGAGTCATCTCTAGCATCTTTTACCACAGCAACACTTCCTTCAATTCATTGTGCTAAACAGTTTTTTTAATGTTGTAACTGATTGATGGATGAGGGCTACAAAACAAAGTATCCATGAAGGTATTGGTTGACTGAAACTTTAGAATGACAAAGAATGCACTTAAAGAACAATTTTTAAAATTTTATACCTCATTTAAACATATTATCCTTTTTGTTTTCTTCCCTTTTTTTTTATTAGGACCTATCATTGTGAGTTTATTACTTCAACAATTATTCAGATGCAATAAGTTAATATTTTATTTATTAAAACTGAACATTTTGGAATATTTTATTTCAATGCCATCAACTTCACTTAAAATGTGAAAATGGCACTGCATCTTTTGAGTGAGGAAACAGTGGTGAATATTTTACCAAAAAAAAGTCTATGCTATAATTTTTCAGCAGACATTTCAGAAGTTACTGGTATCAAGTTAGAGATTTCAAAAGTTATTGCAATTGAAAATTTTGACCCATAATGTACTTTGCTAGTGCTCAAAATGTTTGGCCTTTGTCCATTTTCTTTTTTCCTCTTTTAACATATTTACAAAGGGCAATTAATTCACACTGAGAGATATTATTTTTTCCTTCTAAACAGAAGAGCATTTTAATCAGTTTTACTTCTATATATGTTTTGAGGGGATAATACACACTGTCTTTCCCTCCCTCCTCCCTCCATCTTTTCTGTCACAGAACTTCTTCAAATAGGAGTAACCTCAATAACAAATCTTGAAGGCTGGGTGGGACATCCTTTGGATCCAATTGGCACCCTCTTCAGCAGCCTGATTGAAGCCTGCAGGGTAGATGAGAGCTTCCATGGATTCTCAGACTTCACAGGTAAGGTCATGCAAAGGGAGCAATCTTCTCTAAGTCTTCAGTAACCAGAGACATTTTTTAACCTTACCTTTCCCAATTAACTTCAAAGCCAGTGTCTTTACAGTATAAGAACTCACATTTACATTCCCTAAGAAAACACAAGGTAGTGAAAATGTTTAAAGTAAAACTTATATGAAGCCATCAAAAATTACCAGTTACTCATTCTTGAAGGCAATTCAGTATTTTACACTTGAAACAAAACGGAATGAGTTTATAGCAGCAACCCTCTTTGCATACATTATCCTCTTTTGGAGAAATTACAAGATATCACAGAATTATTGAGGTTGGAAGGCTTTTCTGGAGATTGTCTAGTCTACCTACTCTGATCAGAGCAGGGTCACCTAGAGCAAGTTGCCTAGGACTGTGTCCAGTTGAGTTTTGAATAGTCCCAAGAATGAACACCATACAACCTTTCTGGGCAACTTCTTAGTTTTTGACCATCCTCACAGTAAAAACGTGGTTTTTTAATACTCAGATGGAATTTCCTGTATTTCACTTTGTGCCCATTGCCTATTGTCCTGTCACAGGATACCACTGAGAAGAGTCTGTCTCTATTTTCTTTACATTCTCCCGTTACATATTTGTATATTTTGGTAAGATCCTCCTGAGCCTTTTCTTTTTCAGACTAAACAATCCCAGCTGTCTCAGTATCTCATATGGGAGATGCTCCAGTCCTTTAATCATCTTTGTGGCCCCTCACTGGATCTGCTCCAGTAGGTCCATGGGGAGCCCAATACTGAACATGGCACTCCAAGTGTGGGCTCACCAGTGCTGAGAAGAGGGGAAGAATCACCACCTCTGATCCTCCTATGTGGTCCAGGATATTATTTGACTTCTTAGCTACAAGTGTACATAATACTTCAAAGTGACAACAAAACACTTAAAATTTGTATCATACATGGTCTATAAAGTACATGGTTTATAAAGGTTATGAATTGGAAAATAGCATTGTAGTATAGATACATTATTTCGGACAGGATGTATATGCCCATTCTAACTTCAGTATTTGCTTCTCAGGAGCTTAACTGATTTATTCCTTATTTGCAGCCTCTTTCCACCTCTGTGGTAGTTTCTTATCACCTTCTGTGTGTTCAGAAAATTGAGTCATTCCTCTACCTATAGATTCTTTATATGTACATCCCAAATCTCCTTGGGGCTTTTCATCAAAACTAATTTTATTCAATTAGATTTTCTTCAATAAACTTCTAATCTCATATCCACCAATTCTGGAAGAACTTGAATTAAAAGAAATCAGATTATTTGCAATTAGAAAAAAAGAACCCAAAACAACCCCATGAAATAAAAGTAGTGTGTGTTGTAATGTAAATTCCCCCTACACTCATATATGCAATCTACTAAATGCATTTTGCCATCTCATTTGCTTCAGCTGTCCATCTCCTTACATCTGTACATTGCAACTTTTTGTTTCCAAACTAGACTGTAAACTGCTAAAGGTTGATATAGCATTTTGTCATATGGTGTATTGGTGAAGTGCCAAATCAAACAGTAGTACTCTTTAAAACAATTTATGGCTTGGTCTGTGTGGAATTTACAAGTAATATTTACTAAAAGTAGCATTTCTAGTGATAATAAAAGTCAGAAACATTATGTGTGTTTATCATAAATGCAACTAACAAATAAAACATGAAGAGAGCTTTAGCAAACAGAATGCTTTAAAAATGTGGAGTTCCCTGGCCTACTGTATTTGCATAATCCTAATAGCTTCAACTGAAATCTATGCAGGTGTCTAAGCACCTTCCCTTTCCACTTATACAACATCAAAGCTTTAAGGGGATACAGAAATGGGTTGGGGAAATAATTGAAATAGATCATCCAATGTTTGCTTTATTGACACAAAGCTGGAGAAACTGCCTTTCTTCAAATCATGCAGTTTAAAATGAAAACTTTTATTTTTACTAGACTGGATTTTTAAAAACCTAATTATTTTGTGTATTTCTGTGATGTGAAATTGGATCAGGTAGTTTATATTGGATGATTGGATATTGAGATTGCAGTCATAATTTAAATATTTTTAAAAAATGGATACTGACAGAGGAAGAATTTGAAAATGTGGCATTACAGGCAGTTTATGGATTTTAATGATTTCCTGATGTATTGTTCTTTTTTCCCTCTTTACAGAGAACATGGGGCAATGCAAATCTCTGGAGTACCAGCACCTGCCTGCACACAAGTTTTTAGAAGAAGGGGAATCTTATTTAACGCTGGCTGTGGAAGTAGCATTGATAGGGCTGGGACAGCAACGAATAATGCCAGATGGCTTGTATGCACAAGAGAAGGTTTGTCAAAATGAGGAACAGCTCATTTCTAAGCTACAGGAAATTGAATTGGATGATACTCTGGTGAAGATTTTTCGAAAACAAGCAGTCTTCCTATTAGAAGGTAGCTCAACATAAATGCTAACTGCTTTTTAAAGTTGTTTTCACTTACACAAGCCCACAGAATTAGTATTCCAGTGGAAACTGCCTTATATACTTAAGATGTTTTTTAATGCAAACTCCAGAAAAAAATTATTTCCAATCTCTTATGAAAATCAAACATACTTCAGATATCACATGACTGTGGAGATAAGACATCTACTAATCTATAAGCCTTTATTTTTAATTTTTATTGAATTTCCTTCTTTAGATTTGTTCAGTATCCTAATTATACAAGCCAGGCTCACAATTTAATAATATAGACATCAGTTATCATCAACAGTTCTTGGGTAGTAAATCTCAAAATATCATTTGTATCCTGAAAAAGGACTGGCAGCTTTGTAAATGTATGAAAATTTTTACCTCTATTCCCCAGTGAAGAGTTCAGAAAATTCACTTAAATTTCCTGGGACAGAAATACAACATTTCCTTTGTAGCAATTAGGAATATGAGTTGCCTCTGAAGTTTGTATCATACCTGAAAATTGAAATATATGGAAAAATATTAAGGCTTACAGCCTGGTCTTTTGACTAAATTTTAATTAAGACAAATAACTTGTGTTTGGGAATTGAAATTGTGTATTGCAATAAAATCTATACCAAAAATTGCATGCTTTTGCCTTAGCTTTTAAAAAGGCTTGAAATATAACACTTAAGCCTTATTTTCAAAGATTAATCTTGTGGGTTCTAAGATTGCTATTCTAGTTTGGGGGGTTTTAAACTGGAGGGAAAAACTTTAAAGGAACTAAGTATCTAAAGGTATGGTCCAAGTTTTCAGTGCTTTCTCAAGGGATGGTGGGGAGTTTGATACTGCTCTAGGTAAGTTATGAAGATTGTTACATAGCAGTCAGGTTTTGCTTTCTTTCTGTAAGACATTTGTCTTTTAAAACTATTTCTTTAATGGAGGAGATGCACTATGTTGTTTAGGGTTCTCAGCTTTGAGTCACTGTTATTGCCCAGATCCTTAAAGACTTTGGTACCTACTGGTGGTACCATTTGAAACTGTAGAGAAGCTGCAGCATAAGGAGAGTTGCTGGTTTATGGCCTTTGGACAAGAACAGCTTCTTGCTGGATTCAGCTATTCACCACCATAGAGGGATCCTATGGATTGTAAAATCAATTTGCTGTATCTGTTTATTGGTCAGGATGCTGTATGAGGAAAAGGCAGGATTTCTCTCAAGTATTCTCTGATACTTCTAGTTTAAAACTGTGATCAGTGATATACTTTTTTTCTTAGAGTAGTAAACAAGTAATCATAGCAGGAAAGCTGCTAAAATAGCTACCTACAAAATTACTGTGGTGACCAGCATGCAACAGTGGCCTTGCATTACTATGTGTTGAGAAATCTGGCTTTTCTGCAATAACTTCCGTTTACTCCAGGTTAGGCAGAAACCGCCAGATCACATGGAGGAAAAAATGTGCAGTGATTTACAATTCTAATAATATCCATTGTGGTTTTATAGTTGATGTTCTGTAGATATAATAAAGAAAGTTTAATCCAGTATTAGGCTAATTTCTATGCTGTTAATGCAGGTTAATGCAGATTAATGCATGCTGTGTGTAGCTACCATTTGAATGCATGGGAAAGGAGAACATAAGACTGTGTTGCAAGAACTGTTCTATTTTTTTTGCTTGACTGCTAAGTTAATGGGAGAATATATTTTCATATTAATGCTTTGTCATTTATTCTTTGTCTTCTAACTGAGTTTCTGAATGGACCACCAACTGTCAAACAGTCATGAAATGGCTTCTTTCATACAAGCAATGCCAGCTAGTTTTGAATGGCTTTCAGTTTAAAATTATTGAGACACACTGTCACCTACTTAATCTTCATTGATGTTTCCATTGTGATTAGCTCCAGCCTTCAGAAATGCCCACCTATGGAGCTCAGATTTTTTTTCATGCCTAGTGATTTTTACCTTTGCATTTTGTGCTAAGGCACCAGACAAAAATATTGATGAAACAGCTGTGCTGGTTTAAGTTGTTAACATTTCTCTCTCATGGAGTTAGTCATCCCATGCAGCAGAAGTGATTAAATAAATTTTGTGAGTACTCCTCATCTGCTTCAGTGAAGGGTCAGTCATGTTAGTTTGAATCACAGCCAGAATCTGATACATGTGACTGCAATGAAGAAGTGTGTCACACAGTCATTCATCTATCCAAGTATGGTGGGTTGGAATCTCTAGTAGAGGAGGAAGTGGTAACTTCTAGGACTGCTGGTTGCTATTTGTGCAATAATTGTCCAATAATACTTAATTTAAGATTCTTATTCCGTATCTTGCGATGTTTAACATCTGAACATCTAGCCACTGAAGTAAAAAATTGCTTGACACAATGTTCCTATTAATAAGAATAACAGTCTTAAGGTTGCAGGAAAAATGCAAAAATGGAATTCCTATGCACTATGAATACTGAGAATTCAGCAGTTTCATGCAATTTTTTAAAATTGTCATTTTTGTTGTCATTCTTAACACTGTTGTTATGAAGTACTGCACTGAGTGTGAGCAAAATCTACTGCCCCAACAATGGGAATAGCTTCCCCATAACAAATATAATTTTTAAGATTGTGTGGCTATAATAGACTAACAAAAGCAGCTTTTATGCAAGATCTGACCTAGTCTTCTCTAGAGACCAAGTCTAGACCAAAGGGCTATTTAAATGCCTAATGTCAGGTGAGACATTAATAAGGATCAGGTGCTGCTGGACTGATTAGTCATGCAAATTCAATTTAAAATACCTGGTTTTCCACTGTAGACACTTTTTTTTTTTTTCTTGTGGATTTGTGATAACACAATTATGAACCAACAGAGGGTGCATAGGCATTCGTGTACACAATATAGCTACACAGACGCAAAGCTAGGATTATCATCTTCTACTTTTGCATACCATAGATTTGCTGAATGAGCCTCATGGAGCCCTGGGACCATTCTGTAATTTCTATGTGCATTGGTAGTGTGCTTAGTACTATAAAATTTGCAATGTGTCTTGTTGTCTCAAAGAATAGATGGCATTTAATATACTTGTAATATATTTCACAGACATATCAATAGAACTTTACCTTTAGTACAGCAAGATGTCTCTGAATACCAACTCTAACTGAAGGTGTAATGAATGGGTTCTAAAGGTCCAGAAGTTGAGTTTTAACAGTCTGTAAAGACTGATATTCTCTTTTTCTTTCCCACAGCTGGACCATATAGTGGTTTAGGTGAAGTCATCCATCAAGATAGTGTTCCAATGCACACATTTGCCAAGTATCTTTTCACTTGTCTCCTACCTCATGATGCTGAATTGGCATTCAGAAGTGCACTGAGAGCCATGCGGTATGTATTCACAAGTCATCTAGAAAGAACACAAGTAGTGGTTTGAAAAATGGGAAAAAGCTTGGTTGTCAAGACCTAGCCTTTTTTTCTAAAAGCATTGTTCTGTTTAAGGAGAAATTACTTTGGTTCTGTCATCTGTGAAAGCTATCGATATCTGTACTAACTACAGTGTAATTTAGAAATGTAAAATTAGTGTTTATATGAAACTATAAAACAGCATTCTATGTTACAAATCCTTCTAGAATTCCACTATTGGAACTTGTGGTTTTGTATTGAACAACAGCTTTAGCACATGTGTGTGTTCTTTTACTGATATGGTTGTGTGTGTATAATGCTAGTGACAAGGAAATGAGCAAAGGCATCCCACTAGCAGTCTTAGGATCATCTGCTGCTTAGCTGCTTCCCCCCACTTTATATACTGATCATGATGTCATATGGTCTGAAATATCCCTTTGGTCAGTTTGGGTCACCTGTCCTGGCTGTGTCTCCTCCTAACTTCTCATGCATGCCCAGCCTCTCCCCAGAGTGGCAGTACAAATAGCAGCAAAGGCCTTGGCTCTGTGTAAGCCCTTCTCAAAAATAATGAAAACATCTCTATATTATCAACCCTGTGTTCAGCACAAATCCAAAACAAAGTCCCAATACCAGCCATTGGGAAAAAGATTAACTCTATCCCAGCCAAAACTAGCACACTCTAGAAAGCCAAATGAGGAGAAAATAGTCCCATGTTCAAAGGACTAAATGGGAAGGCATACATAAGAACAAAGCATAGCTACCATCAAGTCAGGGCAAAGGTCTGCTTAGCCTGTTTGGGTTTTTTTGCCTCCAGGAGTGTCTAATAGTGGGTGTTAGGGAAGGAATGTAAGAAATATGAGAAGCAACTTTGCATACTTGTTACTTACAGTTAGAATTTTTGAATTCAAATTTTTAGAATTAGAATTTTTAAAATATCAAATTTTAAAAGTACACTTGTATCTGTGTATTCAATTTCAGTCACTACCTTAAAGTGTTTCTCAGAGATTGTGGGGAGTTTTCCTCCTTAAACTAAATGACCGAGACGACATTAAAAGGCTAGAACAGACATCTATGAGTAGCTTTGCACAGTGCACTGAATGCTTCAGTGAATGTTATGGCAACATGCCATTCCTCTTGAAGAAGTATTTGGGCTTTCCCCAGAAACAAATCAGAATCGACAACTTCTTTTCTGGAAATTTCCTTTCTCAACTGGAAAAACAAGCAAGGCACTGAAAAATCAAAACCTCTAGTTGATTATGGGGAGCTCCAGCCATCTTTTGGCATGAAGCTGCCATCCCTGGCCAAAGAAGTTACTTCTCAAAGTGACCAGTATAAGAAAGAGTTATCTGTTTGTTTCTAGCTGGTAAAATCACAGGAGCCATCAGCATAATCAGGGCTGTTCTCCATAGCTCTCTTGGCATCACTTTTAAGGCAGGTGGGCGTTCAGCTTTTTAATATTATTTACTTATGCATTTTTAATATTTTGTAATATATTTGGCACTCTTAAGAAATGTGGACTGCTATCTTGAACTTTGAACTGCGGTGACAGAAGATGCAGACACTTTCTACTCCATGTCTGTCTGTGTTCCTTGAAACTTCTCAAAAATTCTTATAAAGAATGTTGGCTACTTTTTCCATTCATGCCAAAGTGATACTTCAGTATACAAAACACTCCTGATAAAAACCAAATTAATAACTAACTAAACCTAAATGTTGTTTTGATAGGGGGAAGGAAGAAAGAAAATAGGACGATTGAATGTTGTAGTGGGTTGACACTGACCGGACACCAGGCACCCACCAAGGCCACTCTCTCACTCCCCTCCACAGTTGGACAGGGGAGAGAAAATTTAACAAAGGTTTAATAGGTTGAGATAAGGACTGGTAGAGATCACTCATCAAATACCATCACGGGCAAAACAGGCTCAATGTAGAGATATGCATTGAATTTATTACACCAACAAAATCAGAGCATGATAATGCGAAGTAAAATAAAACCTTAAAAACTCCTTTCCCACAACCCTCCATCCTTCCAGCTCTGCCTCCTACACCAGCAACACAAGGAGACAGGGAATGGGGGTTATGGTCAGTTCATCACCCGTGTCTTCTCCTGCTGCTCAGGGAGAGGAGTCATTCCCCTGCTCCACTGTGAGGTCCCTCCCATGGGAGACAGTTCTCTTTGAATTTCCCTGATGTGAGTCCATCTCACGAGCAACAGTTCTCTGCAAACTGCTGCAGTGAGTCCATTCCACAGACAACAGTCCCCCCCAAACTGCTGCAGCATGGGTCACTCTTCCACAGGGTGCAGTCCTCCAAGGACAGGCTGCTTCAGTGTGGGACCCTGTCTCCACGGGTCTCCCTCAAGGTCATAGCCTCCTCTCAGGCATCCACCTGCTCTGGCATGGGGCTCCTGCATGGGTTGCGGGTGGATCTCTGCAACCCCATGGACCTCCATCGGTTTCAGGGGAGCAGCCTGCTTCACTGTGTTCTTCACCACAGGCTGCAGAGGAATCCCAGCTCTGGGGCCTGGACCACCTCCTCCCCTTTCTTCTTCGCTGACCTTTGTGTCTGCAGAGTTGTTCTTCTCACATGTTCTCACCCCACTCTTCCCTGGCTAAAATTACAACTGCGCAACAATTTCTGGTTTTCTTTCTTAAATATGTTGCCACCCTTTCTAGTTGACTCAACCTTGACCAGTGGCATGTCCATCTTTGGAGCGACCAGGGATTGGCTTTGCTAGATGCTGTGGAAGCTTCTAGCAGCTTCTCACAGAAACCACCCCTGTAGCTCCTCCACTACCAAAACCTGTCTGTGCAAACCCAATACAGATGTATGTCTCATATTTGTGAGGTGGAATGGATCAGAAGAGGGAAATTTAACCATCTCTTCCTTTATGGCATGGGTAAAATGTTTCCACATAGAAATCTGCATGGATGCTCATGCTTTTAGAAGTGGAACATATTTCTTTCTTCACTTGAACATTTATGAAAGAAGCTAACTTCCCAAGACGACAGCTAGTTGCTTTCCAGACATAAGTGTTTATTGTCAATCTACACAGGTCATTGACCCATGATGGCAACTCTGGAGTATTTTGCCTCTCTGCATTCAACATCATCTGTTGCAATTTTTTAAAAAAATTTTCTTTTAGTGTATGGAACACTCAGTGTGAAATCTATAGACTTTAAGACCATAAGACCTTTCATGCATGCACCTCAGGGCTGCAAGGACAGGGTGTGCTATCCTTGATGGTCACTTTTGTCTACAGTTCTCTGCTTATAGCACCGAAACATATAGAGTACAGCCTTAGAGAATGTGGATCTGCAGTGACCTAGTTGACTGTTCACTTGGAGTATGAACTCAAATGTTTGGCTTCATTTGGCTGATTCCCTGTTAAGCCTGAATTTCAACCCAGGCTTTGTGAGTCAGCCTTTAATGGTGATGTTTAATCACAAAGTAGCTTTGCTAAAACCGAACTAAATAATTGTTTCAAAGGGCAAAAAAGTGAAGAATGCTAAATCTGCTTGTGCTTGTTATAATGTTCCTTAATCTTGCCAAAATTGCATGAAAGCCACCAATTCACAACAGCATTTCTTTTCACAGCAAAGGAACATAGAAGCTGGCAATGAAATTCAAAGTGACAGGAAATTTTCCTTTCGTGATCTTTGTCTATTTGCTGTTACTCAGAACCTAATAATCCTTTGTGCATTATGTTAGGATTTTTCCTGTTTGTTGAAACAATTTAATAATGTATTTTTTTCTTCCCCTTTTTTGCTTGGAAAAAATCAACTGGGGAATTTATATGTATTTTATTTTTACATATATAAAGCTATATACAGGTGTCCTCCTTCTTCCTCTAACTTTATATAATGAGTGTGAGGCCATATGGTCTGAAATATCCCTTTGGTCAGTTTGGGTCACCTGTCCTTGCCGTTGTTTCCTCCCAACCTCCCATGCACCCCCAGCCTCCTTGCCAGCTTGGCAGTGCAAAAACCAGCAAAGGTCACAAATCCAAAACACAGCCCCATACTAGCCACCATGAAGAAAATTCACCCTACCTCAGCCAAAACCAGCACAATGGCTTAATTGTCCTGTGAATTCTTACAGATGCCTGCTGATGTAGGCAAGTTTGGCAAATGGACTTTTAAGATTCCCCAAGAAAAGAAGTGGTTTTCCAATATCTTTATACCCAAAACTGCACATTTAATAAACAAGGTCAAGTGCTCTTGCAGCTTTAGTTTTGCTTATGAGTAACCTAATATAATAATGATTTTATGAAAGAGTATTTCTTTCTTATTCCAGGTTGCTAGTATTGGAATCTATGGCTCCTTTGGGTGATACATCCCGTCCACACCACATTGCATCAGTTGTTCCAAACCGGTATCCCCGCTGGTTCACCCTAAGTCACATCGAATCCCAGCAGTGTGAGCTAGCATCTACCATGTTGACAGCAGCCAAAGGTACATTGCTGTCAATTACATACTCAACTAAGTGTATGCTTTTAATATTTCATTAAATAAACAGATTATAAAACTTGTATTTAGGAATTCAAATCACAGCTTGACAGGAGCTTGTAATGGGAAAAACAAACTGAACTGACTTAAACCTGTCACTTAATTTTCTAGAAAAGTGGTTAAACTAGCTAGAAAGTAGCCAGATGGGATTGATTTGAGGCTGATGAGACAGCTTTTTGTTCTTCTGACACAATATAGACTGTGAAACCCAGGAGTAGACAAATCACTTCTAAAATTCACAAATTGAGATGACTTTTGGCCATGTACTACACTAACACCATCAGGCACAAGAGGAATTTGTGGTCTTGTATCTTCTGTTCATGTAATTTCATTATGGAAGGCTTATAAAATTAAAATGTGCATAACTTGAACATTGTACTATTTCGTTGCAAAGGCAAACTCAATTATAATGCATTTCTCTATGTTTTGGAAACTTATTCTGTTTTGGTGATTCTGTTTGCACCTTGCAGGTAATGTTCAGAGGCTGGAAACAGTGTTAGAATCCATTCAGAAAAATGTCCACTCCTCATCACACATCTTCAAACTTGCCCAGGATGCATTTAAAATAGCAACACTCATGGACAACTTGCCAGATACCACTCTTCTGAAAGTTTCTCTGGAGTTGGGCCTTCAGGTATTTCCTTCATTCATTATTACTACAGTAGAAGACAAATTTGACCCTGTGTTGGTGAGTACAGCTCTTTAAGTCACTGAGGAGCCTCTCAAAGACCCTCTTTGGGCTTTGTCTGGAATTTTTTCATTCATTTTTCTGATGTAAAGCACAGTTAACTGGTAAATATAGAGCAAGGATCTGTGCAGTGCCTTTGTGCAATTAGAGTGGAAGAGAGAGCTTGGAGCAGCTGGCTGAAGGGCATTCCTCTGTTCAGGGGTAAGAAAGGACCAGTGCAATGGGTTTGGGAGTATATGTAGGGATGGCTAGAGAGTGAAATTATTCTGCTTGCCAGAAATAATAGTATCATTGAATAGTTTGGGTTGCGAGGGACCTTTAAAGGACATCTAGTCCAACCCCCTTGCAATGAGTAGGGACATCTTCAACTATATCAGGTTGCTCAGAGCCCTGTACAACCTTAGCTTGAATGTTTCTAGGGATGGGGCATCCACCACCTCTCTGGGCAACCTATGCCAGTGTTTTACCGCCTTCATTCTAAAAAACTTCTTCCTTGTATCTAGTCTGAATCTACTCACTTACAGGTTAAAACCATCAGCCCTTGTCCTATTGTTACAGGCCCTATTAAAAAGTCTGTCCCCATCCTTCTTATAGGCCCACTTCAAGTACTGAAAGGCAGCAGTGAGGTCTCCCCAGAGACTTCTCTTCTCCAGGCTCAATAGCCCCAACTCTCTCAGCATTTCCTGATAGGAGAGGTGTTTCATCCCTCTAATCATCTATATGGCCCTCCTCTGGACTTGCTTTTGCAGATCTTTTCCATGGTCTTGAGAGGTTTCTTGTCATTCCTCCCATTTTCCCATCCTTTACCTCAAATGACATTTGGAAGGTGCTTGATGAATTACTAGAGGAAGCCAAGGTCAATCATAATGACCTCTTTCAAGGCAGACTGTATCTCTCACTTCTTTCATCAAATCCTGCACTCCACAAGCTGTGGGATGGTTATCTGTACCAGTCTCAGCTTGATGTGTGCAAGAACCTGTCATGGTTTGACGCTGGCACAATGCCAGCGCCCCATGAAAATACAACTTACCAATCAAATGCTGTGAAATGTGATCAAGAACAGAGCAAAGCAGGCCAAACTTAATAACAAAGGAAAAACTTTATTACACTACTACTACTACTACTACTACTATAAAAGGAAAAGAAAGGAAAGAAGAAAAAAAAAACCACACAAAATTCGAAATGAAAACCTTCCAAAACATTTCTCCTCCCTCCACCCAACTCCACCAAACCCTAGCGAGACCCATTTGGATCCTTAATCAAGCTTTCACCCTTCAATATAATCAATACTGAGTCCATCGGGGAAGAGAGGAGTCCCCCTTGCACCATAGACCCCCAGGAAACACAGCTGCAACCTCTTGTGTTTCCAATGTCACACGTGGCACTGCCCAGACACACCGGCCAGTGTGACATTCTCCTCTCCATGTCACAGTGCTCTCACCACCGTGCATGGACAGAGACTGCTTATAGGGCCCCTTTAAGGATGCTTTGCCAAGGGCCACCAGGAACAACAGTCCAGTATCACAATTCGGGACTAGAGTACGCCCCATTTTCCCCTGGGGCCGAGGGTCCAAAAGACAGAGATCGCCTTCTCTTCTTCTCTGAAGATGGAGGGCATCCTCACACCCTCCTCAGCTCTCTCTCTGTCCACTCCAAAACTGGTAGTTGCTGAAGAAGGTCTCTTGGCTCACCAGTGCATCCCCCTAAAATGCAGTCCCTCTTGAAAGAAAGAGTGGTTCAGTCTATGGTAAACAAGCAGAGTCCAGCCAAAAGCCACTCTATCATCTCCCCCCAACCTTCTTCTCTGAACATCTGAGGTTTCAGGCTGTCTCTCTTTTCTTCAAATTCAGGAGGAGTAATATTTCATAAAGCCTTCATTTCACAGGAAAGGGTTAAAAGTCCCGGACTCCCCGGACGGCTGCAATCTCAGCCCAGGACTCTTTCTCCAGTCTCCCACGCTGGGCATCTCCCCCCCCCCCCTTCTCCTTCTCCTTCTCCTCCGCCGGCAAACTCCCAGGTGCCTGCTGGCTCTCTATCTCTTTTCCCTCTAGCTTATGGGAGGGGGAACAAAAACATCCCAGATGTTCTCCACCCTTCCATCCGCAGGAGCTGGCCCAGCTCGGTTCCCGATCCTTCATCCCCTGGCCTACCTCTGCAGGCCGCATGGCTCCCCTCCCCCACCCAGCCCAGGCTGGGCAGGGGAGGTCTGTACCATGCGGTGACCGGAACCAAAGAAGGACGAGTCCTCCTGGGAATTCCGCTTTTAACCCCTCTGTGTTCTCAGAGGCGTGTCCACCTTCAATTGGTCACCCCAAGTGTCAGTATCTAAACCTGACCCCTGACTGGATGGACCTCTTCCTTCCAAAAAAAATTCTCTTCCCGTGTCAAACCATGACAGAACCTCAGATCAGTTTTCAGGCTCTTAAGAGAGACTTCACAGGTTGAAACGAGACAGATGAGTTTTTAGGTATCTGGAGTAATATTGCCTTATACTCATGAATCTTGGGGTTTGCACAGTTCATTTCAACAAAAATAAATCACTTCATCTTTCTTCAGGGAGTTCTTAAAAACAAGAAAAAACAAAAACTCAAAAAATTCAAAGATCAGAAAACCATTTATTACTCTGCTTCAGTAAACAAAGATAAGACTTCTGGGGAAAGGATATTATCCTGGTTGCTTCTCATGCCAAAGAAAGCTACTATTTGACTATTCTAGATTTTCAGAAGCTAAGGTCAGAAAGCTGAAATTGTGTGCTTTGTTAGCCTTTTCTATTCTGAAGATTGCTGTAGAAATCTGCTCTTTTTTTCCTTCACATCACATTTCTGGCTTAAATGTTTGTTTACTTGAGAAAGATTCTTATGATTGACTTGAATATCACCTCAAGCATTTACCAAGTATAATTCAGTGGTAGCAGCACAGTTTGGATATCACTGTATTCATGGATACCCCTGCGTGGATGATGGTGTGATGGTGTCATCAGAATGTCTTCAGTAAGATCTAGTGAAAGAAATATCATGAACCTGTAATTTCTCGTAAATCCAGTGTTTGGCATTAACTGGTGTAGAACATGTCCACTGTCAGCCCCAAGCTTACTAAGGTGGTTTAAAAACCTTAAAGGTAGTTTGCTTTCCAGAAGGAAGATGCATATCAGTTTTCTGGTAGTAACTCACAGCTGTATAGATTTCTGCAGTAACATTTTTCCTGTAGAAGTCTTACAGTGTCAGCAATGTCTTCAGTGGCCTACAGATGCTTTCCTCTCTCCTGCCTCCCAACCTAATGGCAATTAGCATGTCTATGTTCGCTATCTAGTAACTGACTGCTTATGACATCTGCCCTATAAAACTCTATTTCTCCCCTCACATGACAAACTGAACATCAGTGTCCTCACCAGCCCAACTTGTCATTGTTGGGCTGAGGAAGTGATAACAACAATTTCACAACTCTGTCACTGAGATTTCCATGACAGAAAAGCCTCTTATATTGGTCTAGATTTGGGAGTAATATTTGGACTCCTGGGTTCTTTCTCCCTATTTCCAATAGCAGCATGTGTTATGTGACTCAGCAGAGGGAAGGCATTTAAACTAGTTGTTGTAAATGTGGCCAAATGGACATGGAACATATCAGGTGTATTCTGTCCTTCAGAACCTTACTGGCACAGACACTCTGAGATCTGCAGGTACAGGAGGGGCTTCTATTTCTCCATTTTCCTGCTGCATGCTACATCAATGTCAGTAAGTGTTACCATACACACACTGACAGGTACTTCTGGCAGAACTGCTGAGCAAGTTAGTGCAGGTGATCGCTTGATGCATATTTGGCGAGTGTGCTGGTTTTAATACCAGCCAGAACTTAAACTCCAAATAAGCCACTCCCCTTCCCTCACCCCACCCAGTAAGGGAGGGACAAAAGCAGAGACTATTGTTTGAGATAACAATTTACTGAAAGCACAACACAATGGAATAAGACACACAATGACAACAGCAATATTGATAGCAAAAATATACAAAAAGAGAAGGTGATTTACCTACAAAACAGTGTTCATTGCCATGGTGGGCGGTTACAGGCTCCTTAGGAGGGATGGGCAGGGCAGGTAAGTCGGGAGGTGGCTGACTATGTAATGCAGGGGATGGAGTGTACAGAGCTGTTGTGAATGAGTGTTTTAAGGTCACTTGAAGAATCACTGGCAAAGGTATCAACAAAACCAGGTTTCATATAAAAACAACAGCATGACAAAGTTTGTGGCTAGGTTCACTCTACTACTTACTAGATGGATAAAACACACAGAGAAAAAAAGCAAACAAAAATCCAAAATCAATCAATCAAAATCAAAATAAACCCAAACTTATCTACGTGGAGGCTGGGGGGGGGGGGGGCAGACAAAAGGATAGGAAAGGGTAAAGATAAAAAGGAATATGCTCTAAAGGCCCAACAGCACTTAATTTAACTTAAACTTAGCAGCACTTAACATCATTTAGCTTAAACAATTACTTAAGTCAAAGAATTTAGCAAAGGATTAATATAGAATTCACTATACCACAACAGTAACTCACAGGCCTAACATACTTCCAAATCTAATGAAATTGAGAATCTAGGAGAGAACTATTCCCGGTACATTTGCTATAGCATATTCACACTCTCATGCACACAGACATAAAGAGTCTGTACAAGATACTTGTGAAAAATTCCCATCTAATTCAGTGAAATGCTCACTTGCCTTTGCATTTGCCTTTGCATCTTCTCAGTGGGTGTCGTGATTTGACACGGAAAAATAATTTTTCCGGAAGGAAGAGGTCAATTTGGACATTGACCAATTGAAGGTAGACACGCCTCTGAGAACACAGAGGGGTTAAAAGCAGAATTCCCAGGAGAACTTGCTCTCTGGTTCCAGTCAGCGTGCAGTGCAGGCTCTCCCCTGCCCGGTGACGAGCTGGGTGGGGGAGGGGAGA